ATATATATATATATATATATATATATATATATATATATATATATATATATATAAATCGTCATCTAATTAGTCGATTTTCGGCAATTAAATGAAATGAATAGCTGAGAACAACAGAAAGACTAATAAGTCTACGTGAAATGTCTTCGAAAATACAGTGGTCCACAAGACTATTTGCACACTTTTTAAAATGCAATCAATTTTTCAAAACTGATCTAAACGACTTGAATTTTTTTAGATGGTATAGGGACTAGTCTACTAGACGATGGCTAAAAAGCATTTTTTAATTTTGCTATTATTTGGAACGAAAAGAAGAAATAAAAAACCCTTGCTTTTTAACTTTTTTATCTGAGCCTATAACGAAAATTGGAAAAATGCCTTTTGTAGGTCTCGGGAACTTTTTCCGGAAACTTTTCATTGCAAGTAATAGCAAAATTAATAAAAGAAGCATTTCTGTCATTGTTCAGTACAATATCCCCTCTATCATCTAAAAAAAAAATCAAGTCATTTAATTTAGTTTTAAAATAGTTATTGCGTTTTAAAAGTACGTACGAACACTTTCGTGAGCCACTGTATGTTTGAAAAAATGGTTGAATAAAGCACAGAATTATTATAAATATCGTTAATCCTATAGTTACGAGAATTGATCGGCTGTCTTAGGTTCAACGCGCTTCAGATATTTCGTGGAATTAATTTCGACGCGGCATAGCCGTTGTTTCGCAACACCGGCTTATTTCGCGTGTTCCGTCTCATTGTTCAGGAACGTTGCAGCATGCTTCACCTTCAGATTTTTCATTGATTCCACTTCGCGAGGCCCACGCGTACGTACGCACACTCGTCGCGCGGATGCCCGCGAAACCATCAGAGGCAAAGTCTCATCGCGCGGTTTATTGTGTCCGTTCTCGCGAGGGATTGACTTCCCCGGTCGAAACCGATATGAATTGCTCATTCGATGAAAATTACATCCCACTGCTCCTCGTTCACGCCACTTGCGCAACCGCGATTACAGTAATGCCTCCCTAATTGACGCTTGGATTGTCCACGAAAATGAACAATTTGGGAAGAGGTGATACGAATATTCGAGCTGTTAGGGTCGTTTTTATGGTCATTGATTCTCAACAATTATAAAAACGGGCTACAAGGCTCGAATAATCGTATCTCCTCTTTCCAAATTGTCCATTTTTGTGCACAATCTCAGCGTCAGTTAGAGAGACATTACTGTATTCTGCGTCGAAGGTTTCGCTGTCATAGCGATTCGAAATTCAGTAAATCCTCTCCAATTGTCCTTTAGCTCGTAAACAAAAATGGACAATCTGGGAAGAGGAGATACGAATATTCGAGCTGTTAGGGTCGTTTTTATGGTCATTGATTCTCAACAATTATAAAAACGCTCAACAAGGCTCGAATAATCGTATCTCCTCTTTCCAAATTGTCCATTTTTGTGCACAATCTCATCGTCAGTTAGAGAGACATTACTGTATTCTGCGTCGAAGGTTTCGCTGTCATAGCGATTCGAAATTCAGTAAATCCTCTCCAATTGTCCTTTAGATTATAAACAAAAATGGACAATTTGGGAAGAGGGGATACGATTAGTCGATCCTTGCGGCTCGTTTTTATAGTTCTTGGTAATCGGCAACGAATTGTTCCTTTTTGTTTGCAGGCTGAAGAACAGTTGGGGACGATTAGTAATATTCTACTTTGTTCTACTCTGTTTTACACGTTCTTCGACGTGTTTTGTCTTTCTCTATTTTATCACAACACCTTGTAGAATAATGACGTCGCCAGTAGGGCAGAATCGGGTAATGGTGCTCAGTGGGTAATGATAGTCGCTAGTATTATGTAGGCGAAGGTTTGATTCCAATTTCATACAGATATAACATATACAGTAATGTCTCTCTAATTGACGCTCAGATTGTGCACAAAAATGGACAATTTGGGGAGAGGAGACGCGATTATTCGAGTCTCGCAACTCGTCTTTACAGTCGTTGACAATCGATAGCCATAAAGAACGAGTCACAAAGCTCGAACAATCGTATCTTCTCTTCCAAAATCGTCCACTTTCGTGGACAATCCGAGCCTCGATTAGAGAGACATTACTGTATTCTTACCCCGGCTGGAACAGCGAATCTCGCCCGTGGCGAATCGAACGGGCCGACCGCGCGCGTGCCGCGATCGATCAAGAAGTTTTTCAGATTCCGTGAAGCACACGACTCGTCCCGAGGAACCCGAAGATTTTCCTCCGAAGTTTCGATAAGAGTCGATAAAAGAGTTTACGTTCGCTTGCGTTTTTCTCCGCGTAAAAAAGTTTTCCAGCTCGCGGCGACCGTCGTTCGCGATGGAAATCGGCGAGCACGCGCGCAGTACGGATATGTATTTCGCGGGCGTGCGCGCGCGCGCGTGTGTGTGTTTTCGTTTGCTGGAACTCGCGGAGATCGTTGACGACAGGATGCGGGACATTCTGCCGATGACAGCCGGATTTTACGGCTGTTCGTTGATGTCCTGGTCAAGGAGCGATATCGCTTCTTACTCTGTTTACCGCAGTTCACGTTTCATTAATTACAGTTTATAACGAGCAAACTACCGCATCTTGTACGACGACCACTTTGCTGTTCTCAACTGTTTGCAACGGACGTGTAAAAGAGTAACGGAACGCGGACGCTTCGACAGATTATTGTAAATCGGTGGGCGAAACATTCGTTGCCACAACCAGTTGACTGACTACATTCTTGCATTGTATTCGAAATAACCGGTAGGTTTTTTACCTGCGCTTTGTTCCACGTGTTAGTTATAATTATCAGATGCTTTTAAACCAACGAGGATGGATAAGTTCTAGTAAGAAGTATTTCTTCTACTGCTGTAAATAAAATTCAAATTCCGTAGAGCATCGCATACAGCATTACAGTAA